GTTGCCATTCCTCATCACATTCTGTTACCTAGCAACCCCAGCTGAACCCAGTCCTGTTACCTAGCAACCCCAGCAGAGCTCCAGCACGTTTGGTGAGACGGTTTTACTGCTGTATGCTCTGTACAATGGCTGCTGGAAGTAACAAGTGATTTGTCGTTGACTTATTATTCATAAGCCTCTTGCTGGTTGTGCAGGAGGTTCTACTAATGCTTTTCAAAGTGTAAAAGTTGACTTGGGGGTGGAGGAGCGTGGCCAGCAGCTACTTATTTGGATTTAAAGTGACAAGACGCTTTTAAAGAGCTAAATCTAAGACTAAAATCTCATTATTTATGAATAACTTTGAGCAAAAAATGTGAGGACTATGATTTGTTTAGGCCACAGACCCATCCCAAGCTGTTGAAGGAAGCACAACGGGTCCCTTTAAAGCAAAAAGCCCCTCGATAAATTCAGCAACATCTCTGCTGAGATGAGGCGGTCCCAGTGTTTTTTCATGTCTTCTCTCCGTCTGGCTGGTTTGAGGCCACAGGGAAGTGGTTGGTGGTTTAATTAGGTCAGGCTAAACTAGTTTCACTACAGAACCGGGGAAGGTGGGGCGGAGACGGTGTTAACGGTTTGATCTGGTTTTGGCCCAGAGTGAGAGCTGAACTCACCGGGCCGCTCTGGTTCCCACGTCAGACTTTAACGGCTCATTTTTCTGATCAGGTCGACTTTCAGTGAGTTCCTTCAGATTAAATAATGTTCAGAATAATTCAGACATTTACACACTGGAGGGATTTTATCTCATATTTCCCTCTGATTTTCTGAGTTAAAGAGAAACTTTCAGGGAAATTCATGTCCTAAAGTTGATCAGTATGAATATAATGTGAGGTTTTGGTTTGAATAGTTTATTTTATCAGAAAATCTTTAGGTTTTGCCCATTTTAAGATTAAATCAGATTTTTTGTCATTATCAACAAACAGTCAAAACATACAAGATTAGACAGAAATATAATCTGGAGAAAAAAATCACTTAATATTTAGCTCTGAATGATTACAATAAAAGTGTTCAACTTGAGTTAAACGGATTTATTTGAGTGCAGGGTTCTAGCTAACAATTATTTTAGTAAATTGGTTATTTTATCCAATTAATTGTATTAAAAATTGGCACATTTTGCTGATTTAACCACCTAAGCCTTTTGTATACAATACAAAAATACATTAAAAGATGCAAATAAGCCATTAAAATCCTTTTTATAAATAAGAAAATAAACATTTTATTACCTAAAATGTATGTGTAAGTTCAATCATTTGTAGCAAAGGATGCATCTGCAGCTAAAATAATAACTCAGCCCTTTCTGTTTTTGGTTTACTTACTGCTCTGAGTGTGTTCTTCCTTCAGGAATTGTCCTTTTTTGCATGTAAACTCTACATCATGATTAATCTTTTACTAAATTCCTTGATTAATCGATACATAATGATTAATCGTTTCAGCTCTGATAGCAATAAGATGATTAAAATACGAGGTTTTGATCTGAACGATGTAGAGTTGGGGTTATTTTCTCAGAAAACCATCTTAAGGTCATTAGTTTGGTCGTTTCATTGGCCTGAAGCGTTTCTGTGCTGTTTGGGTTTGGAGCCGAGCGACGAGCGGCCGGTTCTCCACGTTCGGAGCGACATGAATCCCAGAGGAACGCTCTCTCTCTCTCTCCATCTCTCTCTCTCTCTCTCTCCATCTCTCTCTCTCTCTCTCTCTCACTCTCTCTCTCCATCTCTCTCTCTCTCCATCTCTCTCTCTCTTCATCTCTCTCTCTTCATCTCTCTCTCTTCATCTCTCTCCCTTCATCTCTCTCCATCTCTCACTCTCTCTCTTCATCTCTCTCTCTCTTCATCTCTCTCCATCTCTCACTCTCTCTCTTCATCTCTCTCTCTCTCCATCTCTCTCTCTCCATCTCTCTCTCTCTCTCTCTCTCCATCTCTCTCTCTCTCCATCTCTCTCTCTCTCTCCATCTCTCTCTCCATCTCTCTCTCTCTCTCTCCTCTCTCTCTCTCTCTCTCTCTCTCCATCTCTCTCTCTCTCTCTCCATCTCTCTCTCTCCATCTCTCTCCATCTCTCTCTCTCTCTCTCTCTCTCTCTCTCTCCATCTCTCTCTCCATCTCTCTCTCTCTCTCTCCATCTCTCTCTCTCTCTCTCTCTCCATCTCTCTCTCTCTCTCTCCATCTCTCTCCATCTCTCTCTCTCTCTCTCTCTCTCTCCATCTCTCTCTCTCTCTCCATCTCTCTCTCCATCTCTCTCTCTCTCTCTCCATCTCTCTCTCTCTCTCTCTCCATCTCTCTCTCTCTCTCAATGGAGCACGGTTACTATGGTAACTGCATCAGGCGGATCCCCTGCTGGTTTGACAGGACCTGTTCGGTTGTTGGTTTCAATCGGCGACTTGAGTTTTGGTGGAAGACCTCGGAGTCGGGATCTGTTTGTGGACCGGCCGCGCCCCGACCACGTCCTCCTCCCCCCTGCCCCTTCCTGCTCAGCTGGATTCTGATTGGCTGGCGGTGCTGGCGCCCCTCCCCTGCCGGGTGCAGGGGGGGCCACCTCCCCCCTCCATTGCTCTCCTTTTGTCCGTGAATAAAGCAGCTGCCTCTTTCCTTGTTCAGCCATGGGAGCCGCAGGTCAGTACTCACTTCTGATACAGAAAAAGCTTTTCAGTCACCGAGTTTCTCCCTGCAGCGTCGGTAATGTTCATGTCGGCGTGTGTGATTATTTACTCTGTGTGTGACTGTGACAGAGCATCTCCATTCAGATCTCTGCCCAGTTGGTCAGAGGTGCATGTGCAGCAGCAGTTGTTGCTGAATGGCTCAGCTGTCCGACGAATCGCTTCACGTGCCGCAGCAGCAGCAGCTTATTTAAAACCCGGGGAGAACCGTGTTACCGTGCAGCTCCAGCCAGCCTCTCCGGCTTCCACAGACGCCTTTCAGCGGAGAGTAAAGATGGCCGTCATCACTATGCTGCTCACGGCTCCTCAGCTAAAATTAGAGCAGACATGAAGGCAAGCCCAGCAGGCAGAAGCAGCAAACCTTCGTTCATCTCTGATATTAAACTTCAGAAGAAGTTGGCGCCTCTCCCTGGCTTGCCAAAGGATGCATTGTGAACCCTGGTTGAACTGAAACAGGCCTGGATTCACAGAGGCTGTAACGCTACACTGAGCTAATCCTCAGTCATCACATCTTCTTCTTCATCTTTGGCAGTAGCTTTAAATTTCAGGCCCCAGCACCCAAAGATGGCACTGCAGGAAGAACACCGGCCTGCAGACGCCACAATGTGTCCCTTTTCCTTTAAAAAGCGAAGCGGCGGCGTCGATGCCTCGTCATCCTTCACTGCGGACCGCTGTGGGTCCGGGTCGCGGCGAGCCGTTATCAACGATCTGCTGATTGTGCTGCTATTTCTGCTGCAGCGTCCCAGACCAGCAGGTTAATCATTAACAGTCCTGGGAGCAGCAAAGCGATCGTTGCATGTATGCGAATGTCTGCATGAGAACGGGCCAGGTGATCCAGAATCCAACCAACATGAATCCATCTCAGCAGATTACAGCCAGTGATCATCTCCTGCAGAGGCTCATTAACACTTAGCTAAGGTTTCACCAACTCAAACTTAAAAGACATTTGAAGACCATTACGAATGGATTTTAAGATCTATATTTACAAATTACTGTATGAATAACTGGTGATAAATCTGCATTAGACAATAGATGGAAAAGAAGCTGCATCTCGTTACGTTACATTAGCAGTTATGGTGCTAACGAACCATAACTACCATGATACGTTAGCAGTTAATCACAGAACGCTTATTTGCCACAACAGGATTTCTGTAGGGTCCATTAATTCGCGTTTAAGACGTTTTAGGATCACTTCCAGTGGAATTTAAGATCTGTATCTCCACAGAACTGGTGATAAATTTGCATTTATCCATGATAGATCCTGAAGAACTAGCAGCTAGTTAGCGGCAAAGAACACAATGAAGATGTCCCATGAGAAAAATAAACTACATAGAATATATGATTCAATACTCATTCCACAACATTCAAGACCTGTGATTAAAATATTTAAGGTCAACTTATATATCTATATATGTCTATATCTATATAGATATAGATACATCTATATCTATATAGATATATATTGTTTTGGTATAAAGTTATTGTTTTCAGGTGTCTGAAAAATGGGCCATAATAGAACTTTCCCAATTTTTGGGTCGCAATCAATGTGTATTGCTGTGTTACCTAGAAACCCAACATGAACTACAGCATGTTTGGTCAGCTGGTTTTACTGCTTTATGGGCTGTACAATGGCTACTGGAAAAGAGAACTGTTCTGTTGTTGACTCACCATCCAATGTCAATGTAACACTTTAAAACAGGTTCAAAACTGCACCAAAGTGCTACACAAAAAAAATAAGTTGATGAAAAGAAAAATAAATATTACAAGAGAAAAACAAAACACTACATTCTTTTTTTGGTGCCACTTCTACTTTTTAAATATGTATGGTTGTGTAATTGCACATTTGTTGCAGCCATTGTCACGTGTGAGTGTAAGCGTTGAGTTGGTGAGCGTGGCCAGCAGCTTATTTAGATTTAAAGAGACAAGACGCCCTAAAACAGCTCAGACTAGGCAGATCTCACCAGATTAAAATGATCAAAAAACGTTTAGAACATGTTTTTCTTCACCCATATACCAACCAGGTCCTGTCCAAGGAAGCATAATAGGTCACGTACTTTTGAATACATGAATCTGAGACTCTTTAAGGATGCGCAGACACCCTGCTGGGTGTAGAAATGAATGAAACCTTTGCGCCATCTTCTTGGAGCTGGGTTTAGCTGCAGCTCCCTGAGGACGCTGGGTTTCCAACGGCTTCCAGTGGTTTGACCCAAATATGATCTGCTCACAGCGGAGCCCGCCCGTTTAAAAGCCTCATTCCCGGTAATTTGTGGTTGTGGATCCTGACTGACCTCCTTAATGTGTGCTTCCTCCTCAGCAATCGACCTCCTCTACTGGAGGAACGTGAAGCAGTCCGGCGCCGTGTTCAGCAGCGTCCTGCTGCTCCTGTTCTCCCTGACCCAGTTCAGCGTGGTCAGTGTCGGAGCCTACCTGGCTCTGGCGGCGCTCTCCGCCACCATCAGCTTTAGGATCTACAAGTCTGTGCTGCAGGCTGTGCAGAAGACCGATGAGGGGCATCCTTTCAAGTGAGACGACCGATCGCCGGCCTGGGAGTCGTTCTGACTCCGGAGGCTAAAAAGATATTTTCTGATTTTATTTCCAGGGCTTATCTGGAGATGGAGATCGCTCTGTCTCAGGACCAGATCAGTAAATACGCCGATAAGATCCTGCTGTACAGCAACACCTGCATGAAGGAGCTGCGCAGGCTGTTCCTCGTTCAGGATCTGGTGGATTCCTTGAAGGTTGGAACGCCGTCATCGCTTTTCATTTTATTGCTGTTGAGATTAAATGTTTGCTTAAAGATGGATGTGTTTAGTTTGCAGTTCTGATGTGGCTGCTGACCTATGTGGGGGCACTCTTCAATGGCCTGACGCTGCTCATCCTAGGTGAAACCATCTCTCTGATGCACTGATGACGTCTTTCAGTCATTTGTTTTGTTTAAGCCACTTAGTCAGACGTCTCTACAAAATTACACTTAATCTAGATTAATCAGGATAAAATCCCATCTAAAAACCAGGTATCTCTCTCATGCCTCTATTGACACAGAGAAACCGATAGTATTTCCTTCAAGAGGTGATTTCTGTTTAACTGCAACATTTAAGCTGATCGACTGAGCAGTTTGGGAAATTATGGGATTAGTTTGAGGAATTTCCAGGTTTAGATAAGTCTGAAAAAAAAAGCAGACTTTATTCTTTATCTCGCTGTCTAAATCTTGTGTCTGTAGTTCTGTGCAGGGCTACAACTAACAATTATTTAAGTAATCGATTATTTTAACAATTAATTGATCGAGCTGTTGGCTATTCTGATGATTAATTGAAAAATCGACAATCTTTGTGATTAATTGGATAAAGAATTAGCTCCTTTCATAGTTTCCTTTATTCACTTTTCTCTCAGTTTCATTTTATTTCCACCCTTCCTTTCCTTCTTCCAACACTCCTTCCTTTGATGATCTTTGTCCTTCCTTCCTTCCTTACTTGTGCCCTTTAATTTTCTTACATCATTCCTTTGTCCTTCTGTCCTTCTTCCTTTTGCCATGACCTTCAATCCTTCCTTTGTTCTCAAGTCCTTCCTTCCTACCCTCATCGTTTGTTATTCCTTTTTCCTACTTTCCTCTCTTCTGTTACTCATTGTGTTTTTCTTTCTTCCACTCAATCTTTCCTTCCCTGTTTCTTATTTGCCATAAAGTTCCTGCGGGTTTCACCAACTCAAATTCAAGACTTTTCAAGACCATTATGAGTAAAACTTATTCATAAAATCGTCACAGAAAATGTTTGAAGGTCGTTCAGCCAGCTGGCGATGAACTTGCATTTATCCCTGAACTTGCATTTGGACACATTTCAAACAGCTAACGAGCTAGCAGGGCTGTATTAGCAGCTAGTTAGCGGTAGCCTCAAGTCACACAATGCAATGAAGATTATTCTGCCAGATAGAAAAGTAAAATATTACACTGAATATACAAGATTAAATATTCATGTCTAGACAAAATAATATCAACTTACATTTTTTAGTTTAGGACATAATTTTATATACATTTAATTGTTTTAAAGGATGCACCTTTAAGTTTCAGTCTTAAATTTATTACTATTTGTATGTTTTTCTTGAAACATGAAAAGCTGAGGACAACAGAAAGTTGAGTTTTGGATAAGTCGTTAACAGTTTTTTTAATCCAGTCTGTTTTTGCTGTCAGTTTACATCCATTAAAAAAAAAAAGTATAATTTTTTTCTAACTTTTCAATCTGAGTAAAATCTGATGGGCTTTATTAACTATTCCTCCTTATATTCCTCTACAGCTGTGGTGTCCATGTTCACTTTGCCTGTGGTTTATGAAAAACATCAGGTAAGAGCAGAAACATCTGGGTTCTTTGGGAAAACTTGTGCAGCCTTATAACATGTCTGGTTGTCTACAGGCGCAGATTGATCAATACGTGGGACTAATACGCACACAGGTCAACTCTGTGGTGGGGAAGTGAGTAAATGCAATGCCGATTTTTATTTATTTATGACTATTTTGCTTTGTTAGGTTTAAATTGGACTGAAATTAGATTAGAAAAGGACTTTCTCCTTTGCAACAAGAATGTCATGAATATCTTTCTTTGTTTTAATATTTAAGATGCTAAATTGTTTGCAAGCTTCATGGAATTGAGAGTCCAGGAGATTCATTTTGATTGGGAACCAAAGTCGTAACATTTGTTACGTTTCAAGCTGGTGCATTTCGCTTTCACACTGAACTGTGTCAAAAAACCCAAACCTTTAGAAAACCTGTTCCCCTCCTGGCCTGTGGTGGCGCTGCAACAAGAATCACTGTAAGAAACAACAAAAACCTCTGGAGAAGTCGCCAAGTTCAAATTACTTCTTCACAAAATGGAGTAGCATCAAGATTTTGTGGTTGTAGCATTTCTGTTTGCCATTGGTGAAAGAAATCGAGCCATTTCTCCATCTAACGTAGGACTGGCCTGTTCGCTTTGGACACATTTCCCAGAATTCCCTGGGCTATAGTGTACTTCCTGCTTTTGAAGCACCAGAAGACGAGAGAAATCCTGCCACTACTAAAACTCTAACTCCACGCCACTTTTGTTTATATTTTGTGAAGAAAGAAGTTGTGCTCAGTGTATTCTTCAGAGATTTTCATGTCGTTTCCTTCAGTGTTTTAGTGCAGCGCCCCCACAGGCAAGGAGGGGAACAGGTCTTTCAAAAGGTTTGGCTTGTTTGTGTGAAAGCAGTGAAAATGGAACAAATGTTTCAAGACTACAAAATCATCAAAAGCGAATCAAATTCGGTACTTTTTAGTACTTAATTTCAGACAAAAATTAGCAGAAGTTCAACTTTATTCATCGTCTTAACCAAACGTTGGTCATGGATGAGATTTTACTCATCAACATAAAATCTTACCTCAAGCCTTTTCCTGAAAACGACGCACCGAATCTCTTTTTCTGTCCAGGATCCAGGCGAAGATCCCCGGGGCCAAGAGGAAGGAGGAGTAATCCTGTCTGTGTCACCTTGAAGCTGACGGTCCGGTCCAGCTCCGAGTCGGGCTCCTGGCTGAAGGGCCCGATCATCATCTGTGGGGCGTAGTGCTTTGTCATCTTGGTGTTCTCTAAAGCATCCACTGGAGAAGCCTTCACCCTGTCTATAGCAGTCCAACACTAACACACAGTCACAGTACGTGTATAATCCTGCTTCTAGGTAGACAACTACACAACTCGAAGACAAAAAAACAACCTGTTTGTGTTGCTTATTATGAAGTGCATGAAGTCGAGCCTTGGGTAAATAATATTTGATATCTTTTGTGCAGTTTTGAAATCACGCTACATTTTTGCTTTGCAGTGTTTAACCACGACTTGTAATGGTTTGGCCCCAAGAGGCTGAAAGCCCACAGACTTCCTCCGCTGCCAGTGTTAAATACAGCTTCATGTCTCTGAGTTAGCAGTCGGGGCTTTTCTCAGTATGTCAATAGAATATATAAATAATAATAATTTCCTTTCGGTGTTTCCAAGCACAAGGTAATTTACGATATGCGTGTTAGATGTGGTAATCGTAGGGGTTTTGCTCTTTGTAATAATCATAAGGAACAACACACATGCTCACATTAGGTACTGTTGTACAAGTATGAAGACAAGGTGATACTAAGCTTGTTTGAATGACTGTCCAACTTTGTATTTTGTTCAGCTATACTCTGTAGTTCTTTAGACCCTGGACTCTAACTATTTGCACTTACAGTATGTATTTAATTACAGGAATAATGAGAAAATAAATGTACCTTGATGTAACACCTCCTCATGCACCTCACTGGTTCTTCCTGCCAGCCTGATGGAGTCTCAGGTGAAGCTCTCATGTCGAGTCTTGGTTTAGTGAGCTATAAATACGAAGCTCTGGATTCTGGCACTGACACAGCAGAGTGCTGCACAGACACGTTTAACTGGAGTCAGGGTCACAATGAGCCTGTTTGAAATAAAGACCGACGGGACTCATCTGCTGCAAACAACTATTTTTACTGCAACAAAATCGGCATCAACTTAAAACAGCTCTTTGAACTCAGGAAATAAAATACAGAGCCACTAAGAGTTTCCTTTTTTTTCAACGTAAAAAATATTAAGTTTACATGCGAAACTGATGCTCATTATTATCTGCATCGGTTTGTTTAACGATTGAGCAAAATGGGTGAATGGAGCTGGAAGAGAACACCTTGGGCTTCTCCACTTCCTCGTTCTGCAATGTCCATTCTGAGAGACGGGTCGACCTGCAGGTCAAGGACAAGCTTTAAGACAACGGATCAGAACCACAGCAGCAGCAGCAGGGCTGAAACAATTAATCAGGATGAATCAATTGATAAAGTACATCTGCTGATGCATTTTTATGAATGAGAAATCAAGAGAATACCATTTTATTTTATCCGAGTAATCGATTAACTGTCAGAACAATTGGTTTAGTGTCAGAATAATCAATCAGCAGAATAATTGATTATATATCAAAATGATCAATTAATGAGGAAAACAATCGACTTTCTGAAAAATTCATTAAGTATCAGAACAAGCAATTATGTGTCAAACTAATCGATTAATCATCAGAATTATCGATCAAACGGCAGAATAATCGATTAATTGTGAGAATAATTGGTTAATTGTGACAATTATTGTTCAGCACACTTATTGATTATGAGAATAATTGATTGTCAAAATTATAAATGAATCATCAGAAAAATCGATTGTCGAATTAATATATTAAGCATCAAAAGAAGCAATTAAGTGTCAAAATGTTTGATTAATTGTCAGAATAATTGAGTGTCTGAATAAATTATGAATTAATCGATAGCTAAAATAGTCGTTGGTTGCATCTCTGCACTCATCTGTTCTGTACCTGGTCCCACTTTCCGTAGTTCTCGTAGTTTGTTGGAGCGACAGCTTCTCTCGGAGGAGACCTGATGAACAGTCTGCAGAACAAACAGAACCGGATTACTGGTTCTGCTGACGCGTCAGCGTTTTCTGTGGCGGCGTGCGTCTGACCTGGTCAGGCCGTCCCGGCAGTCGTCCTGCAGCTGGCAGATCCGTTCGGGCGTCAGGTGCAGCGTGCTTCTGGGCCCGTTGCACAGCAGGCTGTTGACGGCCATCCGCAGAGCGTTTATCTGAAACAATCACGCACGTTGGGGAAAGGATGGAAAACGGCAACGTTTGCAATCACATCCTCCACAAAACCGCACAAATTAGAATTATAAAAATAAATTCACTCAATTCACAAACGTCAGGCTAAGAGCTGAATGTGCTGTAAACATTAAAATATATTTAAATTGTTCATTACTTAAAATGGGGTTGTGAAATTCAAATGTGAAAAACTTTAAACGGACAATCAAACTATATCAGTAAGTCCAGAAAATCACAGCCAGACACTTTGTGTCAACATTAAACATTTAAACTTATTTACTAAAACATACATAGAATTTAGAATAAATCATTGGGCTGAAACTAACAATTACTTGTATAATCAATAATTCTGGCGATTAATCGGATAAACACATTGGCATATTCTGCAGATTTTTTATTTAAGCTTTTTTCTATTGTATTACAAATATATTAAATATGCAAATAATCACATTTATGAATTAGATGAGAAAATACATATCTTCTTGCCTGAAAGGCAACAAAATAGCATTTTTTTAGGCGAAGATGAAACTGCACCACTAAACTAAAACATAATTAAAACCAAACAGTTTTAAAAAGGTGTATTTAGTTTAGATAGTTTTGGCTCAATTGTTGTTGTTTTTTTTTTTTTTTTTTTTAGCAAAAACCTTTTTTTGAGTCCTTATACTCCAGTTAATCCATTAACTGACAACTATTTGAATAATCAATTAATCACGATTAATCATTTCAGCACTAACAAATTTTTACTGATTGAGTCTGAAATACGTTTTTATTAGCATTTTTCCTGCGATCGCTGATGACAGTCGTCACCTCAATGATGTCCATGACGTCAAACTTGACGTCGAAGGCCAGTTCGACGTCGTTCTCGGGCAGGATGGGCTCCTTGGTCAGGCTGTTGAAGCCCAGGCCGCAGAGGGCCCCGGTGTAGTAGCTCCGCTCTTCATTTGTGCTGCATAAAGGTCAAAACGGCTGGGCGGTCATCCTCTCCGAGGCCTGTTGCATATTTAGCTGCAGCAGCATGTTGGGGGGAACAAACCGTAACTCCATGACGGGAGTGAAGAGCATCATCACCAGACCAGGCAGTCCAGGGATGTCGGGCAGGATGGATGTATCGTTCAGCATGATGTGCGAACCTGACAGCAAAACACAGATTGAACGTCTTCATCCACAGAGCTGATGTTCTCTGAGTTTACCTTTTCCACAATAGATTGATGATTCGTACAGTTTTCCCACTGTAAAATCCACACACTACTACATTTTTAAACTTTTCCAGCACCAAGCTAAACAAATTACCATATTTTTTGGACTATAAGCCGCTACTTTTCTCCCACGCTTTGAACCATGTGGCTTGTAGCATTTACACAAAATACAAAGTTTAAAAAATATACCTAAAAGATGTTCTTGCCAAGTCTTCTGGCATTTAGCAAATATAAATGATCTAGGCTATTCTAACTAACCTAAAACAAGAAAAGTTTAGTCTAAATGTGTCTTTATTCGTATGAAAATAACCGGTTTCAACACTAAATGATGTTTTAACAAAACGTCACATTGCATTTTAACATGAAGTACTTTCATGGTTTTTATACAAAAAACAATCACATTCCAAACCTTGAAATTGAAATCAAGAAACCTGTGCATAAAAACATGGTGACAGTTTAAGATTCAACATGAAGTTATAATTTTATTCCGAACCTGAAGAGTTGATGGCCACCAACCCGGCCACCATCATCCTCTGATGTTTGAAATGCGGGTTTTCATTCAGAGTCACGCTGTTGATGCTCCTTTTCTCAATGGAAACAGTCCTGCAGGACGACATGCCGCTCATCAGCAAACATCAGGAAATGTAACTTTACTTCCAGCACTAGAATCTTACCTGTAGTGGGATTTCCTGCTCAGACTGTAGAAGTTTGTCTGGTAGGAACTAGAAGGTCCGGCCAGATTTACCTGAATAATCAGAAGACAGGTTTATCAGACAAACATTCATGCAGAAAAGAGTCGGTGAAATGCTCCCACCTAGTGGACAACATTGGAATTGAAGCAACAACAGTTACATTTTTTAGTTAACTTTTTCGACAAACCATAAACTAACATAAGTATGAAGTTGACACAAATCCAGTGTATAGAGCTGAAAATAATTATTTTACTTACTGATAATTCTGTTAATCGATTTATTAGACAAATAATTTTCATTGAAGTTTTTTTTTACACATTAGAAAAAGATGCAAATAAGTAGATAATTTAATTCTCTTTAAAGTAACAAATAAACATTTTATTGCACAGGGTTTTCTTTGGCGACCCTTGAATGTTAGTAACTAACAATAAATAAGCAGCTGAATAAATGAAAAGCTGCCATTTCTGCTCCACTTATCAATAAAGTGTAAAGCTAATCTTTGGATTAATTGATTAAAATTTGATTTTATTTTTTACATTTGAACTAAGTGAAGCTGAAACGATTCCACTTGAAGAGTTGTGGGGAAAAAAATATATAAATATATATATAAAACAAATATTTTTATATATATATAAAAAAAAATATATATATATATATATATATATATATATATATATATTATATATAAAATTACCTGTTGGTAATGGCAAACCAACCAGACATTGTCGTAGTGGATAAACATCAGAGGAAAGCCGTTGTGGTAGATGTAGCAATACAAGTGATTGCAACATCAGGAAAAAGGAGCACGAGAAACTAGAGAAATACCAGGGCCTCAGGGAAGAACTGGAGAGGGCCTGGAAGGTGAAGACCACAGTGGTGCCTGTGGTCATCGGGGCCCTCGGGGCAGTAACCCCGAAACTGGAGCAGTGGCTACAACAGATCCCAGGAACAACATCAGACATCTCAGTCCAGAAATGTGCAGTCCTTGGCACAGCCAAGATACTGCAGGACCTCAAGCTCCCAGGCCTCTGGTAGAGGACCGAGCTCAGAGGATAAGAACCACCCGAGGTGGGTGAGAAGGGAATTTTTTATACAGTTAGGGCCAGAAATATTTGGAAAGCAACACAATATTTGTGAGTTGGGCTCTGCATGCCACCGCATTGGATTTGAAATGAAACCTCTACAACAGAATTCAAGTGCAGATTGTAACGTTTAATTTAAAGGGTTGAACAAAAATATCTGATAGAAAATGTAGGAACTGTACACATTTGTTTACAAACACTCCACATTTTAGGAGCTCAAAAGTAATTGGACATATAAACATAACCCAAACAAAAAAGTTTTTTCTCAATATTTTGTTGCGAATCCTTTGGAGGCAATCACTGCCTTAAGTCTGGAACCCATGGACATCACCAAACGCTGGGTTTCCTCCTTCTTAATGCTTTGCCAGGCCTTTACAGCCGCAGCCTTCAGGTCTTTTTTGTTAGTGGGTCTTTCCGTCTGAAGTCTGGATTTGAGCAAGTGAAATGCATGCTCAATTGGGTTAAGATCTGGTGATTGACTTGGCCATTGCAGAATATTCCACCTTTTTGCTCTCATGAACTCCTGGGTAGCTTTGGCTGTATGCTTGGGGTCATTGTCCATCTGTACTGTGAAGCGCCGTCCAATCAACTTGCAGCATTTGGCTGAATCTGGGCTGACAGTATATCCCGGTACACTTCAGAATTCATCCGGCTACTCTACT